AGGCCGCAACAGTGAGAGGCTCGCGTACCGCAAAAAAAAAAAAAAAACCTAACGAAAGTCCATTTTTTGGCACAATTTAGTTGGCCATAAGGACAATTTTTCTCAAAACGTACAATTTTAACAGATTTAAGATCTTATTAATCAGAAGTAACCTAAGAAATAGCTGTGGTGGCAATAATGAACCAAATCATATAAAGGTTATAATATCAAATATGATTTTTATTTATTTTTTTTTAATTTTGGCTGTGCCGCACCACTTGCGGGATCTCAGTTCCCCGACCAGGGATTGAACCCAGGCCACAGCAGTGAAAGCACTGAGTCCTAACCACTGACTGCCAGGGAAGTCCCCTCAAAACTTATTTTTAGATCTTTACGTCCAAATTCCTACTGGCAAGAAATACATTCACCAAAAGAACAGGCTCTAAAAATGTCCAAACAATGGGAGAAAGCCTTTATGTCTGGACTTAACAAAATGAACATTTTATTCAACTCCATTCAATGAGAGAATTTACTTAATTCACTTTAAAGTAACAGGTGCAATAGAGTACTTCTATAGTTCTTATACTAACTCTAAATCCAAAATTAAAAGTTAAAAGTTACCTTTTGCCTGGAGATTACATAAGAAAACATGTAGAGTTTATTACTAAAACTGAATTATGAATCTTAATCTGGATTTCCAAAAAATTGCCATAACAAATAATGTATACCACCATTTATGAAGTTGTTTTCATTGGTTATTACCTCATTTAATTCTCATAACAATCCTATAAAGTGGATATTATTATTTTCCCCTCTTTATTTTACAGATGAGAAAACTGAGGCTAAACATAACTTTCCCAGATCACACAGGTAGCAACTGGTAAAACCAGAACTTAATTGTAGATTAAGAAGCAACTTAACTTTGAAATATTACATAATTATCAAGGACAAGACTGTCCTTGACAAAACCCACATCAACCTTTATATGACTTAGTTTAATATTCCCACCTCAGCTACTTCTAAGGTTACTTCTTTTTAAAATATCACAATGATGGAATTAAGATCTAAATGTATAGAATTTATTCAACAATAAGTAAATGAAATATATGGGCTTTGGTTTAAAATATACTTTGGAAATACAGCAATGGAAATATTTTAAAATAAAGCATTTACTTTTTTTTTTCTCTAAAGTAAGCACTGTTATGCTGTGGCTAAGAAAAGCTTAAGTTTAGATAAAGTGTGTAAAAGACATTACAAAAAGAAAATCATTCTCCATTTTTTTTTTTTTTGGCCGCACCTTGCGGCTTGTGTGATCTTAGTTCCCTGACTAGGGATTGAACCCGGGCCCTCGGCAGTGAGAGTGCAGAGTCCTAACCCCTGGACCACCATGGAATTCCCCCATTCTCCTTCTTTGATGGGACAACAACAAACTCAATCATCCTAGCCATCTAGCCCAATAAAAACCTCAGAATGAAATGAACCAAAAATAGATGCCACTAGGATGCCAAAATTAAAGAATGCTTTACACTTGATAGATTTCTAAAAGATGTCATTGAAATGTTGAGGCCCCTTCTGGACATAAAGCATTTTAGGTCACTACTGACTTCAACATAGTGGAATATTTCTGCTTCTCTCCAGAAACCCCACTCCCCCTTCCTCAACACACACACACACACACACACACACACACACACACACACACACAATCTGTGTCACAAGAGCTCTGCTCCACTAGGGCAAGCTAAATGCAAGAAAGGAAGGAAGAACACTTTTCCATGACAATTAGTTCAAGAATCTTCCTAAAGCTGCACAATCACCCCAAAATGCTTAATCCCATGAGATGCCAATGATAAATACTCATCCCAGTACTTATTAGCAATTCTGTATTGTCTGCCTCAGCTGCTGCTCTTGACATCATTCTCAGTCAGAGTTCGACCTAAAATCTGTAGCCCTGGGCTTCCCTCGTGGCGCAGTGGTTGAGAGTCCGCCTGCCGATGCAGGGAACACGGGTTCGTGCCCCGGTCCGGGAAGATCCCGCATGCTGCGGAGCGGCTGTGCCCGTGAGCCATGGCCGCTGAGCCTGCGCGTCCCGAGCCTGTGAGCCTGTTGCTCCGCAACGGGAAAGGCCACAACTGTGAGAGGCCCGCGTACCGCAAAAAAAAAAAAAAAAAAAAAAAAAAAAAAATCTGTAGCCCCACCTCTCCATGACCTTTCTTCTGTACTAATTAGAAACATTAGATCACACAAACTAGTACACTAGTATTTCTCATTAGGTAGCAAAGGGCGTAGATTGCAAAAAAAAAAAAAAATGATTGAAAGGTTTTTAAAAAATTATTATAAGAAGGGCTAGGGCTAACTGCTACAGATTAGTGAATACAGTGCTACTCACCATTATTTGGATAACAGAATAAAAAGCAATTGCTACTAAGTCTTATCTTGCGCTCCTGCTGGATGTAGCCCTCAAAGTGTAGGCTGTGGGGTGTCTAGCAGCAGACTCTCTTCCAGCAGCCCAGTCCCTGACCCTTCGCACAGTTGCCGGCCCAGTCCTGGATCCACCCTCATTCAAAGCTGAGCAGTTGGGAGTGCAGATCCATTCCACCCATACCAAGGGTCTCTCTTCATGGCCGTATTACAGTTTGCATGTCATTAGGCCAGGGAGAGGGTGAGAAAATATTTAGAAAAAAATATTAAACCAAAGACATTTGCAATCAGGGAACCACAAAAATAAGGCAGATTCAGGGAGCTTTGCCTTAAACAGTAACAAAGTCTACTCACTGTTATCTGGATAACAGAAAAGAAGCAATTGCCACAAAGTGGCAGAATATTTCACTGACTCTTTGTCCCCTTCAGGAAAATGCTGAGACCATGAAGTAAGTTCTTTCTGGTCAAGGTGGTCCTCTGTAAAAGTTTAACATGTGATGTTTTCAATTCCTAATACAAAATGGGCAGCAAGGAGGTCAACTAGGTTCTCGGTTAAGCCTTTTTTTGCTTAAGTTTTTAGTTTGAAATACTGTGAATTCAAGCAACTGTCCCACATAAAATTTAAAAATACTTTTCAACATTCAGTATGCAAATACTTTGGGGGGCTACCAGAAGGCCGGTTACTTTAAATCAGTGAAATAATTCAATGTCAGAGGACCTTAGGTGTCAATAAGCAATAAAACAATGAATTTATTGCAAACTCTCCCTGTAGGTGAACCATAATAAGCTAGAGACAGAAGAGTTTTTCATGCTATGCAAGAATGAAAGTGTTTTTGCTTTTGACATTATCCTCTGGGGAGTTGATTCAAAGCGTTCTGAAGTAACATAAACCCTCCCAATCGCAGCCGGTCTAATTTTTCAACTGCAAATGAAAAAAATCCCTAAGGATTTCAGTAAAATCAGCAAGGCTGTTTTATTCAAGTTCATATAGGAGGAAACTAGCCCGAGAACTAAAAGCAACCTCCCACAAGCAAGAAATACTATCTGGCTCAAGTAGCGAAGCAGTCTCCTGGGCTGAGCAATGCCAAATCCTGCCAAATTTTATAAAATCAACGATTTCGGGGGTGGGGGGGACTTTCTGGCGATGGGACCAGTTTAGAAGAAAGCACTCTGAAGCGCTGAGTCCCGTTCAGTTCAGCCTAGGGTCTGCAAGATGTCCCACGGAAGGTGACATCCTGGAGAAGTCATGTGCTGAGGCAAACCAGGAGGAGCAGGGGGACCAAGTTTTATCCCAAATTTCAAAGCCAGAACCCCAAGGCCCCCTCCTCACCGGACCTTAACCAGACCTTGACCAGGAGGATGCGGGAGAGACCGCGGTTGCGACCGTGGGAGGGGATGAAAGCGCGAGCGCCGCGGGCAGAGGGAAGATTCCAGGGCTACCCCGAGCCACGAGGGCCATCCCGGCGCCCGCACCTCCCGGGCAGCGGCGCGTCCGTTCCGGCGGCAGCGAGGGCGTCCGCCTCTCCCCTACGGCAGGCGGGGCTCGGGACCGTCCGCGAGCTACGGAGTGCCAGGCCCCCGCCCTCCCGCCCCAGCAGCGCCCGTTAGTTCTCTCGCGCCCCGCCCACCCGCGGGGCTACGGCCGTTGGCGGTAGCAGCTGGGCCGCGGGACTTGGGCCGTTGGTGGCGCGGGCCGGCCGTCTCCCCTCCCGCCCGCGTCCCCTCTCAGCGCCCCGTCCCGTCCCAGGGCGCTCCGGCGGGAGTGAGGGGAGCACCCGACGGCGCGCGAGGCGACTCCGGAGTGAAGGTTTCCGGCGCGGGTCGCGCCGCTCCGACAGTCACCGGGGCCGCGGGAACCCCGCCTCCCGCGCGGGCCCGAGTCCCCCCGGGAGCCGCCGGCCCGCTCACCCATCCGTTCCCGCAGCCCCCTCAGGGATGTGCCACCACCGGCGCGCTCCGCCATCTTCAGAGCAGCCGAGCGGGGAGCCGCCTCAGGCACTGGGGCCCCAGTGCGCAGGCTCTGGCGCGGCCGCCGCGGGGGCCGGGCCGTGGCGCCGGGGGGCGGGAAGGGGCGGGGCCCAAAGGGCCGCAGCGCGCGCCTCGGACAAGCGATTGTCGAAGCGCTGCTTTTTGCGCACCACGTGGTGAGCCGCTGGGCGGCGACCACCTGGTGTAAATAAACCCTCTCCTATGTCCCGCGCTCTCCCAGCACCCTCCATCCTGGATGCCAGCCAATCATCAGCCGGCGTGGCCCTCCAACATTCCTTTTTTCTTTTCATCTCTTTTACCTAGAAACGCAGTAATGTTCTTTCCTTTCCTTCATTCGTTCACTTAGGGAGCACTTCCTGAGTGCCTCCTGGGTGCGCTTGCATCAAGAGTTTGCTAGTCTTTGAAACACGCCAGAAAGGCCCAAGTTGGGTGAAGAGGCCTAGAGAGTGGTTGGGAGAGAGATAGGTTCCTGTGAGGTGCTAGGGGTCCTGATCATGAGTAAAGACTTTAAGTTGTTGAGAATAAATCGTGACACTATTAGGTCTCAAAGTTGTGGGAATTATCTCAGGGTGTTTGTGGATCTTTAAAGTGAAGGAGAGGACTTATTGGTGTTAATCTCGCCAGATAGATATATAATATTCGTAAATGATTCGTATCCAGAATGCATAAAGATTTAAAAATTACTTAAGAAATAGGCAACCCCCCAAAAGTGAGCAAAAGGCATAAAGATGCCTTTCACAGGAAAGAAAACACAAATGGTCAATAAGCATAAGAAAAGATGCTCAAACTCTTAAGCACTCAAGAGAATACAAATGGAAACCACAGATATCATGTTACATCTACAGATTTGGCAAAAATTAAAGAGTGGAAAATAAGTGTTGGTTAGGATGTAGTTTAATATTAGTGGAGAAAAAGAATACTGTAAATCAACTATACTTCAATTAAAAAAACACTAGTGGGGGAAAAAGTTTGGCATTATATCACCTGAAGCCCTTTTGCTACATATATACAGATACCAATGCTTTGCATGATATACATGATGGTAGCTATGATTATTATGACACACATGATTAGGGCACCAGCAAAACACATACACCTACACACAAATTCAGCTTTGATGAATTTATCTGGAACTTCACAAACAGAAAATCTAGAAAAATGCAACATCACCTTTGTAGTTTCTTGCAAAACTGCTGAAAGTGAACCCATCTAATAATAAGGAAACATTCGCCCAAACCCAAACTGTGGCATATTCTGCAAAACAACTGACCTGGATGCTTCAAAATGAAAGATTAAAAACAAACATCCGGGAAGTGTTTCAGATCAGAGGAGGCAACAGAGACCAGGTGTAATAATGCATGATCCTTGATTAGAACCTAGATTAAAAAAATTTTTTACAGGGCATTCATTATTGGAACAATTGGGAAAATTCAAATATGAACTGTATATTGTATATTATTGTATCAAAGTCAAATTTCTTGGGTGTGAGAATGATATCGTGGTCATGTAGGAAAATGTCCTTTTTCTTAAGAAGTAACTGCTGGATAAAGCATCATAATGTCTGAAACTTCCTGTCAAGTAGTTCATAGGAACAAACAGAGCAAATATCACGAAATATTAAAAACTCGTGAATCTAGATGGTTACACAGAGGCTCGTTTTACTCTTCTTTCAACTCTTAACATGGGTTTGAAATTTTTCAAAATAAGTTGGAGAATTTATTTTAAATCTAGAAAGATTGTCTTCAGCTTACTTCTAAACATCACCACTTTGAAAAATAAAACTTGATTTGGCATTACATATACAGGGAGGCACCCTCCATAATCTTTGCAGCATTTAGAACTTCTAAAGGTCTTAATCCTGCCCAGGTGTGTGTTGGGGGGGGCAAGTAGCAATAAGAGGTCTACAAGAAAACAAATACAGGCGGCATAGGCTGGGAGCTGGGTGAGTAATTAAAATGGGTCCCATCAACAAGAACCTACTGTATAGCACAGGGAACTCTACTCAGTACTCTGTAATAACCTACATGGGAAAAGAATCTAAAAAAGAGTGGATATATGCATATGTATAACTGATTCACTTTACTGTACACCAAAAAGTAATGCAACATTGTAAGCCAACTATACTCCAATAAAATTTTTTCAAGAAATAAAATAAAATGGGTCCCAAGAGCTCAGAGGGATGAGAAATCACTCATGGCTGGGGTGATCAGAGAACCCTTTGTGGAAGAATTGGCACTTATTTTGGACCTGAGGACCAAAAGAGAGGTCCTCAGGTAGCTTAGTGAGGCAATGCGCCCATCTGTGGCTAGATTGCACTATTTCTCAAAATAAGATGGAAATCTAGCTTTTAATGTAAAATCTCTTTTTAAACAATGATGACAAAGTTAAAAGTTTTGCAAAACAGGGTGCAGGGCAAATCAAATTATCAGATAGCTAATCAATGTTCAACTTTCCCAATTATCTCATTTTTTATGTTCAAATGAAAATCCAAACAAGGTCCACACATGGCATTAATGGATATGCCTTTTAGTTCTCTTTTAATCTATAGATAAACTCTTCTTTTCCTCTAACATCTTTGACAGATCACTGTGAAATTTACAACTCATTCATTCATTCAGTATTGGGGAGAAAGATACAGGGAAGATCCCCGCAGATGTTTCCTTGGGGCTAGAGCAGCTCCCTAAGGAGCCCCCCACGAGACTGTCTGTACATTTCTCAGAAAATTATTGGAACTGAAGACCGCCAGCTTGGGGAGAGTTAGTCTATTCTGGAGCCAACTCAGTCAGAGCTGGGAAAGAACCCAGGAGGCTTGACTCCTCTCTGCCCCTGTTTGGAAAGCCTATGTTCCCCAGTGAGCAAAAAAGAACTGGAATCCTGCTCACTATTTTTTTACTTGGCTATTTTTTCCCTTAAACCTGATACCAGCAGGAAAAATATTCAGAAACCCCGCAGTCATAATAGGTCTGGGAAGTGTCACTAAAACATTGAATTCACATGTAATAAACACCCAGTGGACTTATCAAGTCTAACAAATTTGCATTTAAACTGACACCATCACAGCTCTGTACTAAGAGTTTTAAGCTTCACAGCCTTGAGATGGCTGTTCCTCTCCATCCTTAACTACCTGTCGGATTCAACCATCACACACACAGCGGAGTCAGGGCTCATCCATCACACACACAGAGTCAGGGCTCATCCATCACACACACAGCGGAGTCAGGGCTCTGGTTTTTCGTTCTCTCATTTCTGACTCCTGCCTCGCATCTGCTGCAGCTTGGCTGTGATGCAGGAGGAAGCGTGATGTTTCATTCTGGACTCATCTCTTGCCAATTCTACTCACATTTTCCTTTCTTTTCCCAAATCTGCACTTTCCTTCTCTCCTCAGTTACAGACTCACCTCAGGCTTTGGTCATTTCTCATTTGGTTGATGGCAGCTTTCCCAGCTCCGGAATTCCTAGAT